TCTAGGAAGACAACACGCACAGCCTTTCCCTCATCCACTAATCGGGTCACCTTGTCATAGAAGGAGATCAGGTTAGTCAAGCAGGACCTGTCTTTCATAAACCCATGCTGACTGGGCCTTATTACCTGGTTGTCCTGTACGTTCTGTGTGATGGCACTCAAGACCATCTGCTCCATAACCTCCCCTGGCACTGAGGTCAGGCTGACAGGCCTGTAGTTCCCTGGATCCTCCTTCTGGCCCTTCTTGTAGATGGACATCACATTCGCTAACCTCCAGTCAACTGGGACCTCCTTGGTTAGCCAAGACTGCTGATACATGATGGAAAGTGGATGGAAGTGATGGAAAGCTGATCTGATCCAGGGTTAGCAATAGTCCTACTTGAAGCAGGCAGTTAACAACATGGTTCCCTTCCAACCAATATGTCTATGTTCCTGCGATAAACATACTAATGAAAATGTTTGCTCATTCTCTTCTGAGAGGTGGTATATTATACTACTGTATCAGTGTCCAGAGAGAATTTATTCAGAGATTAACTTTATAACTTTCCTAGAAGCATAGAGAATCTTGTTTCTTGCTCATTCTAATCTTCAGAAAAAAAACATTGTGTTTTTCAGAAATACTTGTATGAACAGTCCAAATCATCTTCTAGCATATTAGCAAATTAGTACAACTGGATACTTAATTCAAGCAATTATTTTCTTTTTTCCCCAAGATGCACTCATGGCAGTCTCAGTTTCAAGCATAAGATAAATGCACTTCACTCAATTAGCTGTTTATGAAACTGAAAGTTCCATTTAAGCATGAGCTATGTTATTCCCCCAGGCCCAGTAAATGCATCAGACAAATCTTGACTAGAACAGTGAAAATCTTATCTCATACCCCTAGCATCAGTTTGCAGTTTGAGTATAGTATCAGCAGTAATGAAAAGCAAATAAAAAGCTGCCCCTTTAAAAAATGTTAGTTTCCTAAACTGTCACAATATATATTTTATAATAAAATGAATTTTTGTGATTTTGCTGAGTTTGATTTTCTTATCAACAAACTAGAGAACTTTTAAGTTATTCCTTGTATTTTATAAAACAAGTGCATAAACACTCCTATGAGGATGACCGAGTACTGGTGCAGGTTGCCCAGAGATGGAGTCTCCATCCTTGGAGATATTCAAAAGTCATCTGGACATGGTCCTGAGAAACTGGCTCTGGGTGGCCCTACTTGAGCAGAGGGGTTAGACCAGATAACCCCCCAGAGGTCCTTCCAACCTCTACCATTCTGTGATTCTGTGAAGCATGGTTAAATAGATGCCAGAATCAGGTTCTGCATTACTGATACTTTGATTATATTTTGGACTACTATGTGAGGCTACTTTTAATTCGCTCAGTTTCCCTACCATTCTGTGCTGTTAACAACTTATCCTCAGCACTGGAGACAATGGACTGGTTTATACACAACATTTTGACTGGACCTTCTCCACCCTCTCTACTTCAGAAAGCGAGCGGGACTAATAAAGGACTAGACACCCACCCTTAGATAATGATCCCACAAGGAATGTGGGTCAGAAGAACCATAGGCACAAAACTTCCTTTTAAGATGAAAAGCAGTACTCACAGCAAGATAGAGTTGGAAACACTGAAGATATGCAGGAGGAATTAAATTTGCTAGAAGCAGTTATTGCTGCTCAGGGAAATGCTTCGGAATCTTCAGAGAGAAAGGGGAGCTGTTTGTAATTCAGAGGCACTACTAAATGTGATTGTGTTTTGAGAAAGTTGTTCTGTGTGTAACTCGCTTTTACCTTGTTTCATTTTCCTCAGAAGGGTGAAGTTGCCACCTCAGAATGGATTTGTGTGAAGAGTTAAGCCTCTCTGTGCTCTGACGCTGGCAGGGGTGATGCAAATCACTGATCAGAGTCAAAGTGCCCAGGACAGCAGTTGCTATATCCTTGACTCTGTTCCCTGGACTAACTGCATCAAGACCTCAAGGGGGCAAAGCGAAGGTTGGTTTCCAAGCAAGGATCTTCAGAAAACAGAGAGTTCCCCTGGAGTGCAGTGAGAAAGTTGCATGAAAATGAAGACCTGAGACCTCCGTTTTGCTGCATAATGGAACATTAGATGAGCAGGTGAGACACCTCAGATTGAAAGTATGAACTGTCTCTCTGTGTGGTCAAGGGCTATTTATGCCCTTCCTCCTCTTGGGGGGAAAAAAAAAGTCAAGCTGCAGTTCACTATATAAAGGGAAAAACAAAGTTTGGATAGAGGAAGGTGCACAAGAGAGACATAAAGATACATGTGTGTAATCTATATTCCTTCTATGAGGTTGGTTATGTTGAAACATTCCGAATTTGTTTAAAATGTAATTTCACAAAGTTTAAAAAGTAGGGGGGAAAAGATAAGAAGTGGACTTAAGCTAGAACAAACTTAAAATTATCTTTTCAGTACAGCAATTTAATCAAGATGAAGTTGCCCATGGGCAGCTTTACTGTGTACAGGCACTGCTTTAGATAAATGCTCCTTAATTCAGGGGAAAATTAAAAATATGCTAGAAGCAATCTATTCAGAAGGGACATCCTGAGTTATCTCTTATTGTTCTTGGCATAAACTCCATCTCTCCTGTTATCAGATACTCCGAATAGTTGAGGCTCAGGTACTTTTATTAAGGAGTATACAGCATTTGCAAGTAAAATAAAAATAAGAAAAAGAATCTCTTGTGTCTTGTGAGTTCGAGTTTTCCTGTATTCCTTGAACTGAATCCAAAGTTTTCAGCTGTAAATTTTATCCTTTTTTATCACTTCTTTCCATGTTTGTAAAACTCCCCTGCATCAACACTGGCAGCACTGACATCACCTGGAAAAACTGGCCCAGCAGGCCTATCACTGGCAATGCTCTCTATCAGCATGCCCACCAGATATACCATGAACACAATCATCTCATGCTGGAACGGACGCATTGGAGATGTTACAGTTCAGAGCTTATTTAACAATTTTGAGGCAATGAAAAGGAACAATAAACAGTATCTGTTCATTTTTCTCAGGAGGCGGATAAGACTGCCTCTTTGTAAATGACTTACAAGCATCCAGAGGACATATGATCCAACATTTTTCTTACTTGACAGAAGTTCCCTCCTTTTCTCTGTGTGCCTCAAAAGTTCATTGCTGACGACCCAGAAAGTAGATGGGAACACACAGTAAATGTTGAATAAATTAATAGATTAAATAAATTAATTGAAATAAATTAGTAGATTAGTAAATGAAAACTTTCTTCTTCTGCCTCAGAAACTTTTCTTCAGAGGAATTCAGGTGAATTGATGAGAAGTCCTCCTAGATACAAAGCTTTGGCAGAAGCCGTGCTCTGAAGGATCAAGTGGAAGTCAGCAGGATTGAAACTGGAAGGACTACTTTCTGATTCTGTTCTGGTACCTCCGAGAACACAGTGAAGTCCAAACAATGGTTTGCTTGGGTTGTCCTCCCACTCTGGTTCAAAATTCTCCTGAAAAGGAGAAAGTTCTGTGCTGATGGAAGAATTAATCAGAATTCCGAATTTCAATTTGCAGACTTCATTTTTCTTCTATGTAAGAAAGAATGGAGGCCCTACAGGTGTCCCAGTTTAATTTTTTTTTTTGAAATATAAAAAGTAGGATATTCTTTTTGTCTACATGTTTCTTCTGTGGTACAGTATAAGAAGCATGCCAAACAAATGGACATTTGTGTAACCCTAGAGGTGTCAATAACATTTCACAGTTGTAATATAACACAGAATTTCATTACAAATGTTTTACTGAAACACTGCCATGAAGGCACATCTTAAAAAAGGTTTTTGATTAGGACAAAGAGCCTTGTATTTATCTATCTGCAACAGTAATGCCTGTAAAATTAAGGTATATTCACGTAACGGAAAGAAATGCTTACAAATAGAGCCCTAAGTTTTGTAAAAATTGAATACTTATGGTCTTGTAATTACGTTTCTCAATAATATTTTGACAAAGAGCATTTGAATTAGTAATTCTTCATGTTTTCATTACCATGGGTTTAAAGACAGATAAAGTTTCACATTAATTTCTACAGTTCTCCCTGTGCTGTATTCTCATAGAGTATTAAAAAGAACAAGAGCTGTCATATTTCTAAATGGCATGTAATTACTAGGCACTTCTCAAGAAACTTCATAATTCAGACATCACACTGAATTCCTAGTGCACTGCAGTATAACATTGTACTTCTCAGATCAGTTATTCCTGTTTATACTGATTATTTACCTGGGACCACTCATTCACAATGTTCTGGAGATGTACCTGCTTTGATGAGAATGCAAATATAAAAAAAAGAAAGATCTATAAATTGTTGCGTTGCTAATGCACCTAACATCAATGACAGTCATTCTAATGTAAAACCAATAGTGGTATGAAAAACTGCAGCATGGTATTACCCATATGACAACTTTAGACATGGGTTTTGGTGACTCAGGCTTGCGTTATTTACTTATGGTGCTAAGTACTTACTTGATATGGAATACTGAAATGAGTGATCATTTTTAAAACATTCAGGAAATCCTTCTACAGAAGTCACAGTTATGAAATCTTCTCCACTGTACATTTCCTACTCGGAATATGATTATCTGTAGTCTATGCTTTCTAGTGTACAACCCCTGAGAATGTTTATGTGCATATATATGCAAGAACTAGGCTGGAATTCTTTAGGCAAAATACCACCACTTATGAAGAGACATATTTTGGTTACTTTAGAAGTAAGAAGTGAAAAGGGCTGAAACATGATCTTTCCGCATGACAGAGAATTCAAATGCATACTGAAGAAGAACAATCTCTCTTTTGTTGCTGATCAAACATATAATATAGCCAGAGAAAAGAGCAATTTATCTTTGATAATAAAAGCAATAGATGTACTACAAAGGGATACACTATCATAAATATTATACACACAGTAACAGTCACGAAAAACAAGGTTAAGAGAAATCAGATGACAGTCAAAACAATATCAAATCACTGCTGCCTCTTACCTTAGAATTTTATTGATTGCTGTCTCTTTTTCCAGAAGATTTCTTGCTCTGATGCTGAAAACAGATTTACGGAGCTAAAATTAAGAAAAAGACAGTGTACTTTTTAATTGCTGTAAAATATAGCATGTCTATGTGACAGACCAATGAAACATTATGATGCCAAGTGTACATAAAATTAAACACATCATGTTTTCTATCATAAAGCTGTTTTTCACGGTCTGTGGCATGAGTGTCCTTTTCCAGGAAAAGGATGTAGAAAAAGATCAAAATGGTCACATAGAGCAAATTCCTTGAGGAATGTCTATGATCCTAGCATTATCTTGCAGCTTTTGGCCTCCCTATCCCAATCCCTAGCTAGTTCTGGGTAGAAAGAAGCAGATAACTTTGTTGACTAGAATTAATATTGTTCCCTTTATTACACATTTCTTTTCTTCTCCAGTTGGCCAAGTCGCACTTGTCTTAATCCTTGCTACTCCACCTCCACTTGATTTTGACTAGGATGGATCATACTCTGGAGGTGTCTTGATTATACAGACGAGCCAGCTAACAAAGCTTAGATGTATCATTTCAGTGCCTAGAGGTAGGTGAGATGAAAGTAGGTCCCTTTTTCCCCTTAATGTAGAGCAAAAAATGCGCAGAGCAAGATGTGCTTGTGCTTGCCTCTGGCCATGAACAGTGTTTCAGGCATATTCTCATGAACAGGACTTCATGAACATTAAATGAAAGGACTGAGAAACATGAAAAAACAAGCACTTAATTCCTAAGCAAGTGGTTAACAAACATGGCAAATCAAGGAACAAATCACAGCTGAAGAATTTAGCTGAGGAATTGCACCTGTGATGAAGAGAAAGCCTCTGGCACCTTGTAAGATTTAACTCTGTCAACTGTTTGGAGATTGTTATCTTGAAGCAAACGGTTGAGTGAGATTTGGGAGCTCCTAGCAATATGTGCCCTGTTTTTGATCAATTTGAAATTTAATCTTTAAGCACATTTCTTTAAGCTATTTATTATAAATATCGCATTTGTTTAACTGATCTGTGTCTGACCTAAGGATATAATAGATTTCTAAAATGATACCTCAAATCCAGAGTCATTCAGCATATAATTTTGCTAGAACTTCTCTCAAGACTCAGATTGACTCTAATTCACAGTAAGTTGTCTTACTTTGGAGAAAAACAGAAGCCTAGAAAATACCTTAAAACTTGTTAATTATACTGGCTGTCCTTAATAAAATGGTACTGCTTTTTACGCCACACCTGTAACAGCAAGCTATAGTCTCTTTCCGCATGCTTGGCTTTTCAAGTGTGGCCCCTTTAACCTTTCTCAAGTCCTAACCCATCTGTACAGCCTGTGGAAGTAAGAACACAGATTATTTGAAAACACCACTACTTTGAGATTCTGTGGGTTCCTTAAAAAAAATGCAACTTGAAAACTGAAATAAAGTATGCAACGCTTCAGAATGTAGTTTGGAAAACACGGAATTTCAGTTAAGACTAATAAATAGTAAACAGAATTTTTGAATGTTTCAATATAAACCAAAAAAAATTCTTCCATCGCCTGGATATGGTTATGAAAATAAACTGAAAATCACAGTATGAGATATACCATTATATTAAATTTTGTGTAGGGGTAAATGTTTCATATATTGAAACACATTTGTGTGGGTTTTAACTCATTTGAGGTACCTCAGCACAGGTTTTGTGAATTTCTCAGCATGATACCTTATTACAGATTTAAATATAACTGACAATGGTGAAAGCAATGGCAACTCTTTCACATCTTTTTTCTTCTAATGTAAATGAAATTAATGTCAGTGGAATCCCAGACATCTGATTTTTCCCCTTATCAGGATTGCAGAAAGAAATCTCCAAACCACAGTAGTATCTATCCTTTTGCTATGTGTTAGCTAATAATTTTTTTAGGGCTCAACTAGGAACATCAAACTTATGGGAAAAATGAAGGTGGAAAACCAGCAGTTTTGTTTCAGTTATAATAACTGCTTTAGAACAATTGCAATTACATCAAACATCAGTGAAAAAAAACGTGCTGCCTACTAATTTCTTATGTCCATTTATTTCTATTAACAATTCTTTGCTTGTTAACATCTTAGAAATTGACAAGATTTCAAGCACAGGAAGCATTCATTTCCTTCCAAATTTCCAGGTTTTGCTCATCTGATTCCAGAAAAAAAGCTGAGGCAAATACATTTTCCTGAAATTGTCTACAGTTCCCTATCTGGCATGGACCACTTCTTTTTGGTATTCAAAATAGGCATCAAAACATATTGGCTTCAAGCGTGTGGCCCAAGCAGGGAAATTTGTCCAGGCCATCAGCATGGGATTGTGTCCTGGG